ACTAGTGTTATCTGACACTGACGTGGGAGAGAAGCCCGTGGCGTCTAGACGCTGGTTGACGTCATTCCTTGATCCGTTACAGAAATAACCGCCTACGCGCTCGCCACGTGTTGACTATACACTATTCCTGTCGTGTTTACAACTCCTTCCCGGGAATCCTGCATTCACCCACACTTACCCGCTCAATTTACCCCGCCATATCACGCAGTTTGTTACAAAGAATCGCTTTCGTCTCGCACTGCAGGTGGCCCTATTATTGAGGTTGCGATATACAGTATCACCTTTGCCCACTGCGCGACGCGTCCAGTGATTTGCAGCGTCATCAGTACGCGCACTGTGCACTGTGACGTCATTGCGCACGAGTCACTCGTTATCAGCTGGCGCGGTGACGTCGTGGCGGTGACGTAGTCTGCGCGGCGGCGCACACACAGTATACTCGTACAGCTGTAGTTACTGTAGTAGTAGTGGTCCATACTCGTACAGCTGTAGTTACTGTAGTAGTAGTGGTCCATACTCGTACAGCTGTAGTTAGTAGTGGTCCGTGTAGCAAGGTGAGTTCGCTGTTGACTTGTTTACGCCATGTCGACATTCCTTATTCGGCTTGTTTGTGTTTTGACGGCCCGCAGATGTTTGTCTGGCCTTTTTGACTACATTTTCGTTGTGGCAAACACATTAGGCTATTGTAATAGGTTTAGGTTTGCGCTGCAGTGTGTTGAACCTGTGACTTGTGTGTATACTTTCCTCTAGTGTACATGTACAGTATTGTGTTGTGTAGGCTAAGAATGTTACAACACATATCCGTGAGGTGCCCTTGATCCCTCGCGAGGTAGTGGTAGTGCAGATCCGGCTGCGTGGCCTTGTACCCGCCTACAACATAACCTAACTTAGCTCACACGGGTCGTCAGCACTATTTGCAGCGATGGACAGTTAGCGGCACGCGCGGCCCTGAGATGTTATAGTGCACTCGACACTAACTTCTAATGCAGTTGCAGTTTTACGGCCCATAACTGCACGTGTAGCGCGGCCTACTACAGCTCGCCCGCTGCAAGATGGCCACGTCAATCAACCCGATCGTTATATCTGTGGAACGCGGAACACGGATGTTCCCTTGGGTTGTTTGCTGTGTACTATTTGATCGATATTTCCGTCCATTGATAACTGATTGTGTTCTTTTAGCAAATGACGGTTTTGTGTCGGAATTATGTTTTTACCACCGGAATGTTTTTGTAATACAAGTTTATAACCCATTCACTGTACTGGATTACGGGGTTTGACTGATACACCAGTTTGGGTTGTATCAACGGTGGAAAATTTATCCTTGAGTTAGACCCTTAAAATGTATTTGTATACTTTCCATATCCATTACACAAGACTGTTTTCCCCAACCCCATCACAGTTTAAACGACGCAATGTTCTATAGGTACAAAAGAACGTTTTACGTTGAAAACCTCAAGGGAAACGCTGAACGCTAAACCAAAAGATTAATTTAGATAGGCGGGTTGTCAAAGGCTGGGTGTTGGGTGGATGTAGTGTAGTGTAGGCCTGTAATGTAGGCCAGGTTGATATTTGGGTTACGTCGTGCGGCGGCGGCGGCGGGGCGTGGCGGGCCTGTGTCTAGTGTCTGTAGTATTGATTGGGCTGGAGCACGCGCCGTACGCACTTTACCTACACACACACACATATGCAATCTGTAGACACCGGGTCACACAATGGAGCTTGTCTAGAGTCTAGACGCTTTTCAGCCCGTTTAGCTCACGTGCAGGAAGTGATCTCATCTTGCAGGAATGTGCGAACCAAACAATCACAAGCAGACATCTCAACTCAGCGTCTGCTCCCCCCTGACACCTTGGCATTCGGTTTTGTTTAATCTTGTCTAAAATGTTTCAATTTTTCTCACATTTCAGTTACTGTTGAAGTTTACAAAAGTACAGACAAAGTATCAGATTCCCCCGTTATCTTAGGAAAGTGGATCGGTTCGTGAGTGATTACATTTCAATTCGATAAGATAACGTTTCATTCATTCCCAGTTTGGGGTGAAGTAATCGCTTAAAATTTCATGTTATCTCGTTGTCATTCATTCATTTGTCGTTTTACAGTTTGAGTCATTTTTAACCATCGCTAATTTGAGTGCTTGAGAAACTAATTTCTCTGACCCCTGACGTATATAATGTTAAACAAATCTTGGGTTGTTCGAAATATATTTGCAGTTGTGTTGAACATTTGCACGTCGTTTACCGTATGAATGTAAAGTGAGCAGACGACGGCAACATTGTAAGCAATTAGCGTTCATATGTCAACAAGAGTGGCACTACCACGACGTGTGTCCGTGATCTTATCAGTTATCACGACGTGAAGGGTCAGTCCACACTACAGTACATCGCACTTGATGTATTGTTCAATCTGTCCGACGTCAACAATATGTTTTGGTACAAGGAACCCCTTCTTCAGTGTTGACGAAAACGTTTGGGACATTGAATTCCTGATAAAGCTTTGTCGGTTAAGCAGCAAAACATGCTTGTCTTAAGTGAGACAAAATTTGTCAACCTACGTACGACTAGAACAACCTACGTAAAAACGTAGGTATCTAAATTACGATTATCATTTTTCACCCATTGTCTTTGCCCACTGTAACAGATGATCGCAGTATACACGCTCAAGTAAATGTCCTTTAAGTACCTAAATCAATCGTCATGCAAAAGGGACGCAGAATCTGAATTGCCCATTGTGAACTTTTACTGCCCAATGTAACGTTTTCCGAGTGCAGTATGTGGGCCTGAGTGATAGTGACGTAACCGCTGTACAGTACAGAGACTGGTAGTGTGTGTGTGTGTATAGTTGTGGTTGTGGTAGTGTGGTATGAACGCGCGGTTCGGCCTTGTGAAGCCCCCACTACATACAACCACCTCCACTCCACTTTATTCCTCAGTGTCATTCCACTCCTCAGTCAGTCGCTACTCAACCATCGGTTAATGTAGTGTAACAAGTGTTTGTGTTTGTGTGAATCCGCGATTGTGACTTTCCCAAATCATCGCAGATGGGAATATTCAGGTTTTCGCCCATGGTAAGACTTTCTCCTTCGCCTTTTTCTTACTTTCGATTTTACCGTCTTTGTGTCATTCACGGTTGCGTAATAGTTTATGTAAATTACTATAGAGAATTTGTTATTCTCGATTAGGTAGTCGACTTGAACGATTTTAGCTTGATCGTATTCTAGAAGTTCTTCATCGACAATGTATTTGAATCTAGAATTTACAACAGTTTGCGAAGTTTTTTTTGCTTAAAATCTAGCTTTTGGTAAGCACAAGTTTTTGCTTTTTTTAATATACCATGTCGTTTAGAAACGCAAGTTTTTGGTCTCCTTCACCAGTTTTTTTACAAATAAATATTTTACAATACAGACTTTTATTTTATTGGCTGGTATTTCAATAAATTACCATACTAATTATTGTTAGCTGAATTATAATTAGGCATAGGCTACTGCAAGTTTTTTAGTTTCTTAACAAGAAATGAATTTTTTTACCAATAGTAGCTTTTGCCCAAGCCAAAGTAGGATTTTAATGAAAAACAATTTAGATTTTTGCACATTATTGTAATAAAATTATACGTAGCAACTTAAATTTTTTATTTGATAAATATTGTTTTTAATTTTAAAGTGTTACCTTATTATTTGTAATTTTACGAACACTCCCGACGTTTTTACTTGATTTTTTTAGGTGAGTTTTATCTTCTGAAAAGCGATTAATCATTTGGGGGTGTGCTGGTTACATTTATTTGTCGTGGTGCAGTACACAGTATACTGAACGCTCCGAGGTCGGCGCGGCGCCACAGATGTGCGATGGGGCAATCATTGCAGACGCAGCCACGGCCAACACCACGCAATTGAACAATTATCTGGCATATCGACGCCGCCATGTTACATCACACAACCTTATCTCTACCTACTACCACGGAGGTGTAGCTTCCAAGTCAACGGTCGGCTGTTTTGCTGTTTGTCCCCGGGTCGGTGTTTATATTTACCCGCCAAACGGCCGGAGGTCCCGCGGTTTCCGCCGGGTTTTCCTGTGACGCCGCAGACCGTGGGAAGGGTCAGCGCTCCGTCTGGCCATCAGTATTTATTTGAACTATTCATTAGTGACATTTGGCGGCGGGAGGCTCTATTTCGGCCGCGACGCATTGGACGCCGGTCAATTTTTAAAATTAGCTGTCTGCGACCGACGGTTTTGACACAGTTTCCTATAGTCTGATTTTTACCGGAGTGCGGGTGGAGCTCAGCCCTACCTGCGAGGGACCCGACTCACGCACGCACACTCACCACCGTCCTAATTGCCTGAAAGCCCCGATCCCCTATTCACTAAGTAGAAATATAACATCTGTTGTATGATACCTCAAAATTGCAATTCATTTGATGTTAGATATACAGTAAAATGGTTAGTATTGATAAATTTGTTGTTTGATTCAATGAAAAATGAGTCCAAACACGAAATGATTATGACAAGGAGCTAGCTAATAAAACGTGTTAAAATATTCGTAGCTTTTACACTTTGTAAGCAAAATATATATTGTTTGGTATCATTTTACTAAGCATTTTGAGCTGAAGTCAAAAGCGTTACCAGATTTTATAACAAACGTAAAATTAAAAAAATTGATAATTTAATTTCCGTGAGCCACCGATGACTCGAGTGGCAGGACAATGGTCCGTCCCACGTCCGTCCTAATCCCTTGCGTCTGTGTGTGTGAGGCCTGCGTGTGTGTGAGTAGGGTCGACCCCTCAGCCAGCCGCTTTCCGTCAACAATCACACTATACTAATGCAGGCCAAACCGTCGACAATTGTTGACTGGACTGTACTCGAAGATTCGACAATAGAGAACGTTCTATATTCATATAAAATGAAAATCTTAAAAGCCGTAACTTGTTAAGTATGGAAGATTATGATGAATAATGAAGCTGTGTGTCATTGTAATGTGCTGTGGAGATCTAATGTATCCTGTGTTTGTTACAGAGGGTGTCTACGCTGCCAGTGACTGTGGTGATGCCCCCGGACACCAAGAAGCCGTGTAACGGTGTACCACCGCCCCCTCCTAGAGTGCCGCCAACGCCGCACACCCCTGCCCCCGCCATGGTCAACGGCTCACAGCCACAGCAGCCGCAGCCCCAGCAGGTAGCACCGTCTACCCCCGCCAAGAGAACTGCCAAAGATTTCATCTTCGGCAAGACAATTGGCGAAGGCAGTTTTTCAACTGTAAGTTTCCATTTCAAATTAATGTTATAAATTTAAGTGTACAGTCAGCTGTTGTATTTCAATATATTAATTTTAATTAGAGTTGGTAAATGGGACACTATTTTGCCCCATCATATTTGTTTTGATCCATCTAAAAGTGTACTTGAGCTTTACTAAAACTGAACATTTGTTGTCATGCCTAACAAGTACGATTGTACAAAGTATGATGATGAGTATGATTTCTTCACTCGTGAATGTATCGGTAACTAACATGACTTACTCTTGACTACTAACAGTGTCTTATCATTAGGACTAGTTACTTTTCTCAAAAAGTTTGTATATTGTTAACAAATTGGTATGTTGTGTTTCAGGTCTACCTAGCCAAAGACATTCACACGAGTAGAGACTACGCCATCAAGGTGTGTGAGAAGATGCACTTGATTCGTGAAAAGAAGACGGAACATGTCAAGCGAGAGAAGAAGGTTCTTAACATCCTGAGTGAAAGTGGTACACCGTTCTTTGTCAAACTGTACTGTACGTTCCAAGACGCAGAGAGGTTGTACTTTGTGTTGTCGTACGCCAAGAACGGAGAACTGCTGGCACACATTAACCGGGCCAAGCAGATGAGCGTAGAGTGCGCTAGGTTCTACGCCGCTGAGATAGTGTCTGCTCTGGAGCAACTACGTGTCAACAACGTCATCCACAGAGACCTCAAACCTGAGAACATCCTGCTAGACGAGAACATGCACGTTCTCATCACCGACTTTGGGTCCGCCAAGATAGTGCACAGCCCCACCTCTGAGACTGAGTCAGATGACGAGCAAAGTATGAGGGAGCGCAAGAACAGCTTTGTAGGGACAGCTCAGTACATCTCCCCCGAACTGCTGAGAGACAAGAGTGCTTCTTTCAGTTCAGATCTGTGGGCCCTGGGTTGTGTCCTCTACCAGATGCTCGCCGGAACTCCACCCTTCCAGTCCAGGAGTGAGTACATCATCTTCCAGAAGATCCAGAAACTGGACTATGAGTTTCCAGAGAACTTTGACCCTGTCGCTAGAGATCTCATCCAAAAGCTGTTAGTGCTGGATCCCACCAACAGGCTTGGAGCTTCGGACCCTGAAGGATACCCGAGCCTCAAGAACCACCCGTTCTTTTCCGGTGTGTTGTGGGATGAGCTGAGTTCGACTGTGCCACCTGCGTTGCCACCCCCAACATCCCACGACCACTGGGTGCCTGACCATCTGGAGCCTGGCCTGGACCGTGGACAGTTGTCAAGACTGCTTGGTCTGGACACTACGCCTGCGCCTGTACCTGCAGCTGTGCCGACCCGCAAGAAGAGCTACGTCCAGGGCCTGACTGAGGACGAGATCAGACGACGGCTGGAGCAGCAGCAACAGGAGAACAAGTGGCACACCCTGGTGGAGGGCAACCTCATCCTCAAACAGGGGCTCATCGAGAAGAGAAAACTTAACTCGGTGAGTTGGCCTACTTTACTGAAGTGAAATTGTTTTGATATCCTTATGATTGAGAGAAAACATTATTGCAATAGAGTTTGCAGAGCTTTATTTTTTGATCGATAAATATTATAGCTGTTGTAATGTCACAATGAAGACTTTAAAAAGATTTTTACTGTAGTCACAAAATTCCATCGTCTGAAGATTTGTCTATTTTTGTCTTTGTCATTACTATTAATTGAAATTGTTCAGCATTGTCTTGCAACTGTACTGACGAGTGTTTGTGTTGTTGCGCAGGGCCTGTTTGCACGCAGACGTATGCTGTTCCTCACACTGGGACCCCACTTGTACTACGCAGACCCCTACACAGGACAACTGAAGGGAGAGATCAGGTGGACGCCTGAGCTGAAGCTGGAGCCCAGGACATTCAAGAACTTCTACCTCCACTGTCAGGACACTCGGGGTGAGCGGACCTACAGCATGGAGGACCCCAACTCTGACGCTCTTGAGTGGATCAAGGCCATCGACGAGATGCACCAAGCGGTGTTCGGACAGAAGGCCGTCTCCTCATAACCCCTAGGCCACTTAGGCTCTCAACTCTGTGATATTTAGTTAATGCGCGTCACACACGTACACTAGAGACTCAAGTGCGGACGCTTGTCAATGCAATTAGATTTACAATAGTGCGCAGCCACTTTTATTTATTGCCACTGATGATATTAGTGATTTCTTTTGGACTAGAATAATTACTATTGACTTTTTGATGTTGTTTGTTATATTTATTGTTAATCGAGTATTTAGTTGAGCCTCCTGGAGAGATGTATTTAATCCTAATTTATGTATAGATGAATTTGATCGCGCTGAAGTAGTCGGTGAGAAACACGAGAAAACCTTGGATGTGTAAATATTATTTATTGTTTTGTATAAATTGTCTCGATATTTATTCGGTTTTCCTTGTTTTCACCGACTCCAGTCGTAAGTTTCCTAGCTGAGTTACTTAGTGTGTGTATTTATGAGAGTGAATGAATGTTTGAATCGATACATCGGTATACTACATTTCTTGTTATTCAATCTTGTTATTCCTAAGGAACTTTTCCATTTATATTTTTACGTCTTACTTACTGGACTGAACAAATTTGGAAAAATTTATGATGATGACATATCCCTGATGTTTGTTTTGTGAGTTCAAAGAAGACTGTTTTGTTTGAGTCGGGCCAAAGACCTTTTACTATGTGTTAGTTACTATTTGATTGTTCCATTTTCTTCTAATGCCAAACTGCGACATCTTATAGATAAAATATAATATTACAAATATTGTTGCATTATACTGTTTGTTTTTGTCATTTGTTCATCGACATTTTGCATTATAAAATCTAGTTGAATGAAGATCATACTCTAGTTTGATATTTCCGTTCACAATCCAAAGAAACGAGCACAGTCTGTTCTGGTTCCTTACATGTTGAAAGTATATGCAATAATGTGGCCTTATAAGTGGTCTATATTTATTTTTAATGTCTTTTCCTATTTATGTTTACTTGTGTTTACAAATTTTGCCTGATGCTGTATTTATATGTTCAATAGCTCGTTTTTTACACGTTCTTGACTAGTCAGAAGCCTGACTAATTCCTTACTGACTAAAGTAAATTGTATTTTGTATCAAATGTTTATGTTATGTGGTGCTTCTAAAAGAATTAATTTTGCAGAAGCTTATAGTAATTATAAATTAGTTAAATTTGTTCAGTTACTACACTTTGTTATACAAATTGTAAGACGAGTAGACTCAGTCCAACTTATTTGCAATAATTATAAAAGTACAGCGATGTACGTAGACACGATTGTTTGTTGTTGGTACAATGAGTACAACTAAAGATGCCCAGTATTATCTTTGTATGAGTTGTGTATTAGGTTGCAGTTGAATTATTAAAATAGATTATTCCACTATCCATGTCTTATCTTTCCAAAATCCTGGTAATTCATACATTCAAGAAATTATCGTATATTACAATTACTCACTTACCTTTGATGACATCATGGTGAATACTAGTCTGAATGAATATGAAAAACATACATACAAATATGGATAAAATATCTAGACCAATGAAGGCTAATACAAAATAGAAGATACAAATACCATATAAATCTTAAGCGACAGTCTATCTGATCAGTGACCAAGCATTTTTCTTGGTGTGTCACTGGTTTCAAATTTTCCTGGCACATTTACATCAGCCAGCTGATAAATTGTATCAAATATTTCAACATAAGAAGTCATGATTGTTTCATACTTTGTTTTGTTTGTTTATGTTTTTTTTTTTTTTTTTTTTTTGTGTAGGAGAATCATTTGTGAGAAAGTCCAAGAATTTGGTTTTATAATGAGCAATGATTACTAGTCATGGTTAATATTTGTGCCAACCAAAGAAAAGCTCGAGACATGTATCAACTAGTTACATACATGTAAACTACAGCTATGCCACAAGTCAATTTAAAAAAATTATATGGCTCAGTCAAAATAGTTTGGATTGAACTGTACTATATGGCACGAGTTCCAGTTTACACCATCAATTCTTGATGACTTGGTCGAACAAGCACATCAGATGAGAACAGATTTCATAGTTAATATCATTGTTGACTTTTGGATACAGTAGATTCCCTCTTATCCGGACTCCTCGGGACCGAGGCCAGTCCAAATGGTTTTTAAACCGATGTCCCCAACTTGTTAAAACAGACCGTTTAAAAGCATACTATATAGGGTGAGTGCACCAGTGAATGACCACTCCCCAGTGAATGACCGATTAGTATAAAAAACCTCAAATCAGGCTTTCTGTATTTCCTAGCCCATTACAAACGTGTTTAAAAGTAACTTTGATGTCTTGCTTAAATTCACTCTGTGGCTGATTAAAAAAGAATGTGTCAATCATCCTTTTGTAACATAAACAAAATTTGATGTTTCAAAAAGTTCGTTTTTAAGCTTCCCACTATGGCGTCTCGCACAAACATGGTTGGTTGTAATTTGTTACGGTTCCCTAATTATTGATTGGAACTGTAATATATTACATGTAATTCATAGTTAACACGTTAAGGTACAATTCTGTACTCATTTAAAGATCAAAATCCAAACCAATTGTATATTTAAACAGCCGGTCAATTACTGGTTCACAAATTAGGGTATAACCAGTGAATGACCGTTTCAGTCATTAACTGGATTTAGGTCAATTTTCTTTATTGATATTAATGACAATGCTTTCTGATGGAGTAAGCGATTGCTAGGAAAAAAAACAACAAACAACAAAAAAATTTGTTAAAAATTATGCGGATACACTATAACAAAAGTTTGAATGCGAGTTAAATCTTACGGTCATTTCCTAGATAAACAGTGATCTTTTACTAGAACCTATATTTCTAGAACCTATATTTTAACGTCCCTGATATCGTTATTTTTCACTACAGGGTTTTCAGCTTCCATGCAAAAATCTTGAACGGGGGTTATTCGGTGAAAAGGAGGAGGTTTAATACAATTTTAAAATTGTTATAAAATATGCGGTCATTCACTGGTGCGATGATTTATGTGCAAAAAATTGTATTTTTCGACAATTTTTTTTACATAATACATTAAGTTGTATCATTGGAAAGTACAGGGAAATATGGGCAATACATATCAACGATTTCGTACAATGTAGCTGAGTAGTATATTTTCCCATGTTGTTTTCGACTAGAAAGTCAACCTTAAACGGTCATTCACTAGTGCACTCACCCCTACAGCATTTGACTTAAATTTAGGAGAGCATTGTACTGTACTGAAGTTGACATCCCATCTAAATGGAATTAGAAGTTTGTTTTTTATAAAAAAATAACAGTTGTATGAGCCTGTGACGGAATTGCGCTTATGTCAAAAATTCAATACTCTTCATTGTTTGTTGCCTACTTTCACATGAAATGGCGACCATACGAATTTAGGTAGTTCAAGTCAATGAGAGTTGACGTAAAAACAACTCTACAGCTTAAAATAAGTCGTCCTGTCAGTTTGACTTGGTTAAAAAGTCCACTTATTTGGCAGGAATTAGGATTTTAGGTTTGGACTGAGAGTGGCTCACTTCAACTATGTTTATTTTTACTAAAAAATCTGTAACAATTTTAACAAATGGATTGAAATGAACGAGTTTAACAAAGGAGAAACTAACTTGATTAAATTGTTTCTTTTAGGCCTCTTTTATGCACGACGTTTTCCGTCGGGTGGAATCTATTAGGCGTTCCGTCTGGGAGTGTTTTAACTTGGGATTAAATGGGACCCTTTTATGCATGACGGAATCTCCGTCGCGTTTCAGCGTTCCGTCCGGAGTAGGCGAAGGACATACACTCCGCCGAGTTTCGGCGTTTCGTCAGGGCATTTTTTTGCATAGGATTGAATGGAACCCTACTATGCAACTGTGTTTTCCGTCGGGCGGAATGTAGCGCTGCCAACCTACCCTACGCTCTGTCATCCACAGCATTAAAATCGCCTAATCATTGTAGATGGATAATCATTATTCATTGTAATGGATTGAAGAGTACAAATAAAGAGATGTAATTGGAAAAAAAATTACTGGGCGTGAATTACATTTTTGATTAAATTCGCAGAACAATACAATCTTACTGTTTCGTAGGAATAATATGACTTTTGTATTCCCAGGACTGACATGGGAATTTTCGTAGGCTATTTTCTTCTGTTGTCTATTTTTCTTTACACACAAATAAGTATAAACCAATAAACAAGTATCCATCTTGGGTCACTGACGATAGCCAAATGAACAAAGTTGGCAGCACTGACACCTCCCACTGCGGGTATAAAAAAAAACCAGCGGATTCCGCTCGGCGGAGAATCTGCATAAAAGAGACATGGATTTTGTTTGACCGAAAACGTTGTGCATTAAAGAGGCCTTAGATAATTCGCCCATAGGGAAATGCTATTACCGTAGGCGGGCACAGAAATACCTTGACTCGGGACTGATTCATTTTTTAATTTTATGTCCCTAGATGGCACAAAGACAATTCGTTAAATTTATGTTCACAAAGGGTATTCATTATTTTATGTGTTCCTATCTGGCTTTCTGATTTTACAGCAGCTTGATAGGTAAGATAATTCAGACACTGTTGTTCAAGTTTAATTTAATCTTCATACAATATTCATTTGGACTGGTCATCATAAATTATTTTCAATAAAGTTTTGCTGTTGTCACACAGGAGCAATTATTCAAAGAGGGGTTTACATTCTTAGTACACTTGTACACTAGTACACTATGTAGGAATCATGTTCAAAGTCTCTTAATGGATGGTATCTCTTAACAGGCCTTTTAGTGTTGCAGCTCAGCAACTGTTAGTGTGTGAAATGGTTGAATAGAGAATGTGACAAAGAAGATGAAATCACAAGAAGACCCTTGAAGGTGCCACATAAGGTGGTGAAATGCATAGTGTGACACAAACATCTAATCTTCAATACCTCAGGCAACAACAACAAAGGTAAATCTAATGTTTCTTAGTGGTATGACTGTACATTATAGCAGGTCCATGTTAAGATAGCCCATTTCACCATCCCTATCTGTCCTTTTAAGATATGTGCCAGGTTTTAACTCCTGTACCTTACTGTACATTATTGTTTTTGCGCCCTGCACAGTACACAGTTCGTCATTGGTCAACCTTATACATCTTGGTTTTTGTCTCATTGAGTTAAAGTCCAAGTAGAGATTTTTGTTCAAAAGAGGAGTATTGCCTCATCAAATTATTATAACAAGTTACAGTAATGGGGTTTTTAATGATTTTTAAAGCTTACAAAAGTTAGGCCGGGCGCGCACTATCCCGACCACGACCACGACCACGACCAAACGCCCGACCAGTGGTTGTCATTCACCATGCGACCAGGGCACGACCCGACCAAGGCAACGAATGTTTTACAAACTTCAGTGTCAAGATGATTGTTGAAGAAGTAGTTGTTATGGTGCATTTGTATTGTAAGTACGTTAAGCGGAAGAAGACACTATACTGGGTATATCCAATGTTAACTGTTAGGTCTGAAAGGGCATTTTGCAACATTTTATGATGAGCTACGTCAATATGAAGACAGGTTTCAAAAGTGTCAAAATCCTGCGACATTTTACCAAATGAGTCACTTCACAGACCGGCGCAAAAAACTAGTGCTTACCGTTTGATTAATCTAGGAATACTGGGGGTTGAGTGGTGTACTGGTCGGGTCGGAGGCAAGTCGGGGGTAGTGCGCGTCGTCCCATTACATTGTGTGCTATTTTTGGCTGCAACGACCAGCGGGTCGGGCCCGACCAAACTGGAAAATTTTGGTCGTGCGACCAGGGCCCGACCAGGGTCCGACCAGTCGACCAGTGCGCGCTGTTCCATTTATTCCTATTATAAAACTATTATAAAACCAGTCGGAGTCGTGGTCGTGGTCGTGGTCGGGATAGTGCGCGCCGGCCCTTAGTAGTTAATATAAAGAAAAAGCTTAAAGACTGGAACAGGTTTGAAAAAAGAAACTTTATACTCGGCTGCGGCCGGTTAAGGTAATTACTCCAACTGTTTTGGATTATGTCAACTTTGCCAGCCATTTTAATATTTATTTAGGAACAGCTGTTGGTTTATTGTTAATGTTTTCTTTTGCTAATTGTTTCTGTTAGTGTTATGATATACATGAAGTTCATTATTTTTTTGTCAGTTTAACGTTCGCATTATGTTTATAGCGGTGTGCTATTTAATGTAGATATCACTATATATATTGGTGAACCTGAACAACAACAACAAGACTGACATTCCTTTCTCAATAGTTCAGGTAGTTCTATTTCGCTTGAAGATATCGAAGCTCACTTACCTAATCTAAGATAGCAACAAAATGAACTTTCTACCAATGTTCAGCCACACAACAACTCTGTTAATGTATCTGTTCATCAAGTTGCAATAAAGCTTCC